ATATGGTTGATGAAGATCAATTAGTTATTCTGATAAAATACTCTGAAGACAATAAAAGTGTTAAGTCACACTCCTATTTCTGAATATTTAGGACACAGCTACTCCTTTTAGGAAATTCACATACTAGAGGCCTGGGAAATTTTTTTTTCCCATTCTGTGGAACTATTTCATGATTGTGTTTAGGATTATCAAATGCATACTCCTGTATTTTTCCCCAATAATGTATCTACACTTTCATGCTGCTCTACCTGACTGACCAAGTCATAACCAACTTTCTTATCTTTGTTCTTACCAGGTTGATTTTCAGTTCATACAATGCATAATGTACAGGCAAAGAGAAAATGTAACAGCCAGTACATTAGCAGGTGGTTAGGAATGTGAAGTCATGTCCCCCCAGTAGTATTTCATGTATCAGCAACTTTTCCCAAGAACTTGTAACCTATATCAAATCAGGGTAGGTTCTGAGCTATTTTGGTTTGCCGCTGTACTAGTATACCAGATATTGATGTCAGGAGGTGATGTGACTCCACCAGATTGTAATTAGTTACATTAAGTGACATGACTACCAGTGAGTGGTATTCGGTGATGCAGTGGCGGAGGAATGAGACCTTAACCTGCACTATCATGCGGACAGTGCGTGATCGCTTGTAGCTTAACCAATCAGGAGTTACCCCTAGAGCATGACTGGCTGGACCAGCATGCTGAGGCCTCCAGAATGTTCCACCAAGGGGGGGACCTGATTGGCTAGGGAGTCTATAAAGGGGGCTGCGCGCCTCGGCGCGAGGTCCCCAGACGCTCCTGAACTCAGGAAGACAGCCTGATCACCTGTCTTGTCTGGACAGACCCCTAGGCCTCTAGCTAGATTCCTAGCATAGGCTACCACAGCTTATAGCTAGACCACGCGCAATCCGGAATGCCCTGTGTGTTGCCCAACTAGGCATCATACTTGTACTGATAGTATTTTCGGCTGCAGTCAACCTTCACGATTACACCTTGCTTGTTACTCGCCGCTACCCATCATCTGTTTGTTCTCCACACCACGTCGTCTGTGTCCACCTGCTACTGTAAATAGTCCTTGTAATTAGTTCCTGTATTTGACTTGTTAATCATCTTGTTGGTTTGTAAGTAAACTTATGAATTTTCTTCACCTACTAGTTGTCGCGCTTTTTTCCTCTCTCACACTTGGCATCCCCGAGCGTGTCTGGGTTGGGGTCACTACTCAGTGCCCCACTCGACACGCAACTGAGGCCATTTTCCAAACACCATCCTTGAATTATGGCCCACAATTGAAAAATGTATTTTCTGTGCACTAAAACCCAGCTTGCAATTGTATAGACATGGCTTAAAAGATTTTCTGACTGTCCCAACTGGGAGAGCTGTGTCTTGCTTTGAGTACAAGGTAGTTTAAGGAGTAAGCTAGCTTGTGGAGGAGATAGGTGTCTGTAAAGAGCAAGAGGATACAACAACAAAAATGGTAGGTTCCTTGATTTCTTTCTTTGGGTAGCAGGCTATTTTATAGCTTGATGTAAATTGCCAGATTTTAGATTATTTGTATTTTCTGTCTAGCTTGAAGCAAACAAATGTTTTCATATACAAAATAGGGCCTCTAAGTAAATAAATGGGGCCCTATAAAATAGGGCCTCTAAGTAAATGGAGAAGTATTGTTTTGTTTTGACAGGTATTTTATTTTCATGTAAGCATTTGCTATCAAGAGCGTGTGCATTAGCAATGCACCATTATTTGGCATCCTTCAGGTTATAAAAGTGAATTGCTTTTCATAAATGGCAGAAGGGGCTTTACAGTGGGAAAATTGCTGATGGCAAAGAAAACGTGTTACTATCCTTCATTCCATAGTCAGCTACTTTGGTATACATAGGTTCTCCCAGGCATGTGTAGCCTCTGCAACCTTAAGGGGATATAACCATTACTTTTGATTTTTTTTTTATATTGTATATTGACGTATGTGTCTTCTGGAGAATGCTACACATGCTCAATTCTATAGAAAAAACATCCTTTTTGTATGTGCTTTCTTATTACAGCTGTACATGTGTAGGTATTTTTCTGTTTTCTTTTTTTAGGTAGCTAAAATTTTAAAAATATATGACACGTGCAAATGTTATGTTGTATTTTAAACAAACCCTAAAATATAAAGAAACTACCCAAATGAAAATCAATTTCAACTGGCTTCTACACAAACTGGTTTCAGTCTGGTGACAGTGTTTGCATTTATTCACTTGTATACATTAGAAGTAATATATACAGGAACACTGTGCTGTTTAGTCTGTCAGTAGGTGTGTAGCACATTTCAGGTAGGAGAATCAATGCTGCTAAGGAATGATGTATGATCAGAAAGCATATGTTGGGATCTTGCTTGATCTGAAAGTATCTTTCTCTTATATGCAGGCCTTGATTTTTATTTTTATATTTTATGTCACATACAGGCCTTAATTTTTCTGCAAGTATTTGAACAGTGTGCTGAAACTCATGTTCCAGTAGAAATATGAATAGAGGCTGTAAATGGGTACAATGAGGACACCATTAAGGATGCATAGTAAGAAACATCAGGTGCAGAATGGGTGCATCTGTGCATCAGTGAAGTGGTCTAAACTGAGGTCTTTAACTATCTCTGTACACATTACTTGCTTAATTTCTTCTACTAGATGGAGTAATTCAACACTTTCACAGCAGATAACAACTCATTCATGCAAAACTGATTTTTTTTCTCCTTGCACCTTCTCATCACATCTTATATTGTGCTTTATATACACTCTCTATCTTAAGCCTATACTGGAATTATACATGGAGCTAATTTTCTAGAGAACCTTAACAAGTTACTATTAAAAGATATAGTAAGAGTTCAGTGTAATCTTCAGCATTGATAATTTAAAGTATCATGGGCTTTGAAAGGGAGTTCTTTTGTACATCATTATGAAGTCCTAATTTATATCTGAGGCATGGTACTTGTAATTTTCTTTTAATTAATCTGTATAACTAAAACCCAGTTCTAACACCCATTAATTCATTACTTCTTCTTCTGATTTCATACACTTGAGTGCTGAATAGCAACCACGGACTGGCCTAAAGAATTGCTGAAGAAAACAAAGAAATTATGTAGATATAATTGGACAACTATGTGTAATCTTAAAATGACAGTCCTTGAGTTTCCTGAGGATACCATTTCATAGGTTAATCTAGTATGCCTTCCCTAAAAGATGAAATTGTGTGTGTTTTTATACATAGTATAATTCAGTCTCTCTCTCTCTATATAAAGGTTTTATGGAACAAACTTGATCATGGGCCATGGTATATTAAATGTCATACCTATTTATGAAAGGTGTTGAACTTACAGTTAGAACTAATGTGGGACAAGTTGCTATGGAGAGCAACATTGTATATCTATATAATGAATATAATTTTTATACAAGCCCAGTAGTATGGCAAGCACCTTGAGAGAATATCCAATTAAATGTAGTTGTTAAGGTCATGTTCTGGAAATGGCTTGTGTTAATTTGAGTGCAGCAATTAGCAGTAGTAATATATTTTTGTGAGGAAAAGGAACATGGAGAAAGGCCTGAGTGGATGTAAATTAGTGAGTGAAGTAGCAAGGGAAGAAAGAAAACTGTTAAATTATTAAACAGCGTTCTTATTCAAAGTGCACCCATTCCTAACTCATTGTGACCACGAAAAAATTGCTTTGATTGATAGTGTGTAGTTTCTGTAGGCGCGTCTACACAAGCTATTAATGTGCTGTCATCTTACTGTACAGTAAAATACTGTGCAGTAAGCTTTCCCTGGGAGTGTGTATATATACATGTGCCTGTCAGGAGCAAATCTGCCCCCAACAGAAGTTCAGTGCAGGGCTACTCCTGCCCTGCTCTGCCCTCCTACGTCGTGGTCAGCCTGGTCTCTAGGCAAGAAGAGGGACCTTTCCCCCATCCAGGGGAGCTGCCTCCGAGCTCTGAGCCCCTATCAGCAGATCAGGGTACAGGGCTGGGAAACTGTGCCCACTCCCAGCAGCTGTTTCCCAGACCCATGCCCCAGCTGCTGAGGGAGGGGACAGTTTCCCAGCCCTGTACCCTGATCTGCTGAGGGCACAGGGCTGGGAGGTAGCTGCCCAGGGGAGGGAACAGGTCCCCAGTCTGGATCCATGCTATAGATATGTGTCATCCAGTCTGCAGACTTTTTCCCTGACTGTGGCTGTGATGGGGAACCATCCTGTGGCAGGAGCCAAGTGCCCAAGATAGAGCTGCAGTGCTGGAGTCTCACAGGAAAAGCCTGCCATTTGGTTTGTTCTTATAGCAGCAGCCTGAGATGCTTGGCTTCTTCCTGAGGCACTGATGGGGCTCCAGCACTGCTGTTCTTGCTCTGGCACTTGGCTGCTATTGCAGGAAGAAGCTGTGATGCTGCTGGGGGTTCCTAAGCTATGGTTCTCACCTGCTTGACTGCCAAGCATCCAGGCAAGAGCAGCAATGCTGGAGGGAGCCCCTCTAGCACCGTGGGAAGAAGCCAGGCACTAGGTCTATGCAAAGCTTTGGATTGCAATTCGGATTTGGAGATGATTTGGGAGATTCAGAGGCTGAATCTACGAATCTGAATCGAATTGCTAGAAGCTATAGGCTTTCTGAATCGACTCGGAAAAGATTCGGCGATTCAGAGATTTGGCCATAGGGTATAATGGGGAATCAATATCAATAACTTTGTTGTTTTTTGGCTGACTCGGATGAAACTTCCAGGGATGTTATCCTCTGCTGAGGGCACGAAGACTGCAAAGTTTCAAGATGAAAGGTACAGAAGTTTTTGGGAATTTTCACCCTGATGTGACTTAACACACACGTGACATGAGTTTTGCTTTCAAGATTTGAGGTGGTTTCCCAGAAACCCATGCACTTATCCCTTGAAACTTGGCAGGCTGCATGCCCTCAGCAGAAGCTACCATCCCTGGAATTTTCATGTGAATCAGCCAAAAAAGAACAGTTATAGATATTTCATTGATTCCCCATTATACCCTATGGCCAAATCTCCGAATTGCTGAATCTTTTCCAAATCTTTTCCAAATCGAATCAGCTGAATTCAAATCAGCTGAATCCAAATCCGAATCAAGTAGTTTTGCCTATTCACACAGGTCTATCAAGCACCATGCTTGTTTACATGGTGGCAGCCAAGCACCAGGGATGCTTGATGTTTTCCTGCTGGGTCCTGGACTGAATGTAGCAGGTGCTGCATGTACTAGATCTGGGAAGGGGAAGGCTGTGGGTTTAATCCAGCTTGCTAAATTCTTTCAAAAAGTACCAACCCTCAGGAGAACATTTCAAAATTATTTCAAATGAACTAAGCCACCTTCTTGCAGTTCTTCTTCAGGTACTTCAGTTCAGGAGAAGAGAAGGATATTTCAGATACACCCTGTCATTTTCTTGAGGTATGCAGCTTCCTGTTCAGCTTATCCTTCTGAAGCACCTAATTAATTCCTTTGAAAATGCAGCTACTGAACAAAGAGGAGGTGATGCTTCACTCTATATAAAAAGCATAGTGGTTAGAATACTTGTCCAGGAAATAGAAATACAAAACTCTAGAACTCTTGTTTGAGAGATGATACCTTTTATTAGACCAACTAAGAAATCACAATAAATAAATAAATAAATAAAATCTTTTTCTGTAAGCTTTTGGGCGCACACACCCTTCCTGAGGCTCAGGGAAAATTAAAGATAGTAAAAAGTGCCCGTAGGTAGAAAATAAATCAGGAAGTGGCACTGAATCTGCATCTCCCATTCCTCACCTGGACAGGGTTCAAACCCATATCTCATGCTTCCCAGAACAGTAATTTGCAATCAGGGTAGTATAGAGGCACACTCTACCCTTCTTGTTGAAGCTGTTACACAATGCTAAAATAAATATAAGGCTCAAGGGGCTAGACTAGAAGCATGAAAGAGGGAAAGTGTGTTCTGTGACCTGGTGGTTAAGGCAGTGTTTCCCAAACTTCTGATACCTGGGGCACACTTTTTTATTCCTAGATTAAAATTGGTGGCACACTTTACCCTTATTCCTGAAAAAATAGGGGGTGGGGGGTGGGGGGGGGAGTGTAATGTATAATGTTATTCTGGGCCCCTTTTATATCTGGTGAGTACTGGAGCTACAATGTAAGAAGTACTGTATTATTATGTGTTCCAGTAATTGGTCACTAAATTAAACTGGATAGTAAATTATTTTCATGCAAGTTGAGCAAAAAGGGCTTAGTTTTTCCAGATGACATGATGTATACAGTTTGCCTAAGCAGTTTGTACTGGCAGATGCAAGTGAAATACTGAAACTTTTAGGAATTATTCAAGTGAAATCAGATTTACCGTAGTAACTGCAATGGTGAGAAACCTGACAGGCAAAGCTCCTGTTTGTTTGACTCATCAGTGATGGAGTAATGTCTTCAGGAGTTGGACAATAATTCGTCCTAGTTGTCTTGCATTCTTAAATGGGTAAATAAAATGCCTGTGAAATAATAAAGGCTACATTAGGACTAGCATATAATACGTGGATCCAATGTGCTGTTAGATGATACAAGATCTTTTTGTTTAGTTTTATGTTGTAGCAGAGCTATACAGGGAAGCAGTCTGCCTCAAGGTGTATTTTATTTATAATTTTAATATCCCCAGGGAGAATACAGGGATTTAAGCACTGCTGTGAGTAAGGAGGGCACCTAGTTTAACTATATTTGGGCACCTCTGATATTAGATGGACATTCCTTTAGTATTCAGGGTGTAAGGCGTATCATAAGAACCCTAATCTCATATTAAAATTAAGGGTCTCCATACTCCTGACACATTTCATCCTTGATGTTTTAGGCAAACTGCTTGCTAATAAACATGGTGTGTCAAGGGCATCTACAGTTCTTTGCATTCTGTCACAGCAGAAATGAAAAAGCGAAAAAGATTCGCTGATTTGGTGTGATGCACATCAGGGGACGTACGTGACACCCCCATTATCACTACAGAGAAAACGTGATGTATGCCAGACTGCCTCTCTTTGAGTCCTTACATTTTTTTTTACCTTTATCCCACAGTCCTAAGGAACAATTTCTACTATTGCTGGCCTTGCTTTATGCCACTTTTATATAAGATGCTAGATTTTGACTGAGTGCTTTGATTTTTGCTAAATTTTACATTTAATAACATGTCTGAGGATGACAGGAAGCTTAAAAAGGCAACTGTCAGGACGGTGCACATCAGATATTTCAGGCTTCACTTTTCTAGGAAGCAGGTTTTCTGTCACTGGGCTATAATGGTATCAGATGTGTGGCTAATAATTAGTCGGTTAAGATTTCTAAACAAAACCCTGCAATCTAGCAAAATAAAACTAATAATCCTCAGCAAACATTTTTTAGGAAAGTTGCATACTTAGAGCACTGAACAGGTTGTGGTGAAACAGGCAATAAAACAACTCAAACTGGCAAGTCTGTCTACTGGTTGGATATGACTGCCTGTTGAGAGCATATATAGATCAGTGAAAGAACAATGTAGGAACTGCCAACAGAAGTTATGAAATTTCACCCCACACATGAGCAAAAAGTTGGAATAGATATGTTCACTTTTAATGGTAGAAATTGTCTGGTTACAATACATTTCTATTTGGAGAACATTTGGGCAAGAACTGTATTCAGAAAACTGAAAGCGCACTTTTTTTCAAGGCATGCGTCACATATTTTTCTCAGACAATGGGTCACAGCATACTAGAACAGTATTTTAATGATTCAGTATCAAGTGAAAAATTTAGCGCAAGACGTCTTTCCTGGGCTAACCGAACAATAGCAAGAGGAAATAATTGGCAGTAAAGCCAAAGAGACTGATGGCAGAAGGAAAATAGGTAGACGGGATCCTCAATAGACAGTGTTTGGGCCATCCCAGAACACCCAGATTATCATCCAGTATAAGGCCTGTTTCCCAAGAGGTGTAATCCAGTGCAGTGTCATGGAGGAATGGTGGGCTGTATACATTAAGAGGCTATCAAGTGAAGCAGGCAGTCCTTTACAACAAAGCAACTATGGGGCTCAGACTTTTGTTTGGAGCTGAGTATATTTGTCCTACCATCAAACTGACACAAAGCAGTGGTCCAGGCTACAGTGTGACACAGAACATTTATGAGGGAAAGTATGGGCTCATGACAGTGGTGGAAAAGAAACCAAAGGCAACTGCATAGTAGTGGCAGGCAGGGGCCAACAAGGCCAAGATGTAGAGAACTTGGAGTATTGGCATCAGCTGATTTGACAAAACAAAAATGTTTGATAAAAGTCTAGAAAACATACAAAGGAAAGTTGGAAAAACTGGGGCTATGTAGTCTGGAGAAGAGAAGACTGAGAGTATATGATCTTCAAATACAGAAAGGATGGCTTTATAAAGAGGATGTCAATAAACTCTTCTGAGTCCACAGGGGATAGGATAAGAAATAACAGTCTTAAATTATAAGGGTGGATATCTAGGTTGGATATTAAGAAGAACTTTTAACTCTGAGGGTGGTTAAACTCTAGAATAGTTTACATAGAGAGGTTATGAAATCTCAGTCCTTGGAAGATTGTCAGAGCAGGTAATGAAACAACACTAAAGAACAATTTAGTGAAATCCTTTTAGATGGGGACACTCCATCCTCAAGCAGGTGTTTGGATTAGAGGACCTGCTAAGGTCCCTTCCATCCCTAATATTCTATGATCCTAGAAACATTATACAGTCAGAAGAAATGAGGTTCATAGCAGTGTTGAGAACCAACAGCATTAATGGAGCTACAGAGTAGAAGCTCATCCCTTGCACACAGGAATTTGAAGACCTGAAGGATATTTGTACTATGAAGCCTATTGGGCCACAATAGGATGGCAGCAGAAGCTATATTCTTGTTGTGGACTATATACAAGTAGTCTCTGGACTCAGCAAATACTTTTGCAACTTTATGTTCCCTTTCCTCCTCCTCCACTGCCCAAAATCCCAAACATATTTAAAAGGAAAGCTGTAGGAACCTGGCAAGGCAATTGGAGGGAATAATATAACTTGTGGCAGGAGTTTGGAATAGGTCCCAGGAAGCTACTCTGTGTGAAATGACTAACTTCTGTATTGCACCTTTTGCTACCCTGTCACAGATTCAACAAAGACCTGTAAAACTAGTAGTCTAATCATAGGTGTAACTGTGCAGTGCTGCACCCAGCATAGTGGTGCTACAAAAAGCAGAATCTGCAACTCCGGTGGAGAAAGTGATTGGGCCAGCAGCATGGCAGTGACTATTTTTGCAACCCTCTCCCTCCCCCTCTTAGTTACACTTCTGCTTCTAGTTCTGATTAGTGTCTGTCTGTATCACTGCAGTAAGATTAATGAGCTGTGCCTGCAAACAGATATAGCAGATCACTGCCAGATACTGCAGGGTAGAAACTGGATGGAAATTCAGCTTAAAAGTCCTATTTCACTTTGGGGCCCCTAGGAATCAAATGCAAAATTTGGGACTGTCCCAGAAGATTCAAGAAAATTGCTTTGAGTCTGTGTATTTGTATTTTCAATGCTTCTTCCATTTGCTGCCTCTTGGCAAATAGTTCCCTTAATATTCTGCTATTCCACTTATACATACTGAATAAGAGCATTCATTGCATAGTACAGTGGATTTTAGTAGATATCTGTATCTACAGGTACTAAAAAATGGTGCATTAATCTACCGTGTAGTAATTTCTGCACATGTGTAGACAGTGACGTTTTACTGTGCATTAGATTAGTCTGATGTGCAGTAAAGCAGCTCAGGTAGATGCACCCAATGAGCACTGTTTAAATAACTGCATACTGTACTCTGAGTAAGTGCATAGCCCTTTTTTGAGTCCTGAGGCACTTAAATAGAACGCATGGTAAAATGCCAGTCTAATTTTGGAAAGATGGAATCCTTTCATGTTATTACCCAGTATGTGGTATGTGAAATGAAAGCTTTCACTCTATTAAAACCAAGAGTTTAAAACTTGGTTTCTGTACAAGATTTCATTTATTTAAGAACTGCTGGAAGTTTTAAAGGGAAGTGAGGTATAGGGAGGATCAGTACCTCCTACAGTGTGACTGTTCAGTGAAGTAGAGTAGGAACTAGGCACTCCATCTTCTTTTGCTTAGTTTTGCCTTGTTCTCAGAGAACACTAGCTGACCTGTGAACTGCCCTCAGCTTGTCTTGTTCATGTAACATACACTATGCCCAATTTAATCTGGATGAGATTTCAGGGGACTGAGGTTCTATTCCTGGTCACCTGTTTTGGTGTCCCTGGGCAAAATGTTTACCTGTCAAAATGGACCTTCCCTAGAGGACAGCGTTAAATACTGAGCAAAAGAAGGAAAAACAGTTTGACTTCTTTTTAAGAATTTGGAGCCTGTCTTATAGTCCTTAGGCGTATTCACTTTACTTGTGCAAAGAATAAGGGCCAGAGTCAAATAGAATTCTCCTGTTCTGTTTTTTTGTTCACTGCTTCATCCTACACTATGTTCTGTTTTCACTGGGGAGAGAAGAGAGAATGTTACCACAAGCTTTTAGGAAGAGTTATAACATATTATACGTGCTAGGGGTTTGTTTAACCTATGTAATTCTTATTGCTTATTTCATTTTACTGTTCTGGTGAAAACTGCAAATGATTCTTGGCATTCTTAGATGTGAGGCACCCTTGGGAAGTACCAGATCTTAGTTTTCACTTGTTATACTCAGAATGTCTCTGGGGGCTTTTATTTTATCTGGAGAAACACAGGAGATGCCAAAGGAAGTTCCTCCAAACTATACACTGGTTTATCCACCAGGCACTATTAACAAGAGCAGCTACGTACAGCAGAGAACACACAAACATACTTGCTACTGGATGAGGAGCAGCACCATACCTAGACTCCTGGTGGCCCTGGGCGAACTTTTAGTATCGGGTCCCCTTCACCAGAAATAATGATAATAATAATTTTAAAATTACCATTTTCAGGCCCCCTTTCTGATGTGTCCTGGGTGGCTGCCCGGTTCACCCATGCCTGTGTCCGGCCCTGGTGGGGAGGTCTCAGGGCCCTCAGATGTCCTCATGGTTTGAGGCAAGTTCTGGACTCTCATACCTCTGCCTTTGTGTGGGGGGAGTGGTTATAGAGCTCAGGACAAACTTGGGGTGCGTTCCCCTTCACTCCTTTGACACAAGGAGCTTTTGGTCACTTCAGTAGGGAGAAGAAATTGAGTCACGGCCTGCGACCTTTGTACTTCCCTAGGAGTGGTTGACTAGGACTGGGTGCCACCCCCGGTCTCCGTGTCTCAGCTTTCTTGGAACTGTCCCTCATGATCCGCTTCTCGCTTGCTAATTACAGCTACTCCTCGCTTAACATCATAGTTATGTCCTTGAAAAATGTGACTTTAAGCAAATCCAATTACACCACAGCAGTTACCTACTACCAGGCGGCAGCCGAAGTTATAACCGAACATTGCGCGACTTTAAACGAGTACGTTCTCTAATTGATCAGAGACATAACAACAAAACGTTAACCAGGACAACGTTAAGCAAGTACCCGTACTGCGACTCAGACGGCCCTGCCTCTGGGAGGAGGACAGCAGCAACACCCCTCCCCACCACCGGGAAATAGAGCGGCTCATCTGCCAAGCCCTCAGACAAGGCTGTGGCCGCTGCGGATTCCCACTGCAGTCTCAGGCTTTATCCTGCAGCGCGCGTGTGCCAGGCACCCGTTATTGTAGGTCCTGAACTGAATGCACCCTATGGTGCATTAACGCACACATAGAGGTGGCCAGTTTACTGCACTTGCTGCTGGGAAGGCTAAAAAAAAAAGACTTCTCATTATCAGGTGTAAAATGTTAATTCGTTTACAGGATAACATCATTTTATGACATCGTTTGTTTTTTTTATTCAAAACAAGCGGAGTCCTCAGAAACAGAGTCCAGTAAAATGACGGCAGGTTTCTATAGTATTAATAGATTCTCAATAGTAACTGTAAGATAATACTGCTGCTGCTGAACACCCCTGAGGCAGGTGATCGCCGCCGACAGGCTCGATCCG